GCCGCGTCAGGGCGCCGCGTCAGGGGCCGCGTCAGGGCGCCGCCAGGGACCGCGGCAGGGCCGCGTCAGGGCCGCGTCAGGGCCGCGTCAGGGGCTGCTTCAGGGCCGCGGCAGGGGCCGCGGCAGGCCGCGTCAGGGCTGCGTCAGGGGCCGCGGTAGGGCCGCGTCAGGGCCGCGGCAGGGGCCGCGTCAGGGCGCCGCCAGGGGCCGCGTCAGGCCGCGTCAGGGCCGCGTCAGGCGCCGCCAGGGGCCGCGTCAGGGCGCCACCAGGGGGCGCGTCAGGGGCCGCGATAGGGCGCCGGCAGGGGCCTCGTCAGGGCGCCGCCAGGGGCCGCATAGGGGGCGCGTGGGAGGCGGCGTAGGGGCCGCGTAGGGGCAGCGTAGGGGCCGCTAAAAAAAAAAATTTAGGGCAGGGCGCAATGTGCGCGGGCAGCTAAAAAAAAAAATCTTATGGTGGGCCCTTAGGAAGGAACGGTCCCATGTAGGAACCCGCTCTATACCATGTGAATCAAGAAAACAGGAATGGATGAACTATGAATGAATTGAGTACAAGTACTAACCCTAATTGGGTTGTACCCCTTATGGAGTACCCCACTATAGCCTACACAATATGCATGAGCTATGATGTTCTGACAGATGCCACGTGTCGTTGTACGTCGGTCAACATTTCGGGCCAGTAATAATACCGCTGCAGCTGCTGCCGTGTTTTTTCTACTCTGAAATGCCCCGAGGTAATTCCGTCGTGTGCCTCCTGTAACAGTAATTCCCGTAGCAGTGTATACCCAGGTACCCAAATGCAGTCAGTCCTGGCTTTTACGTAATAGACTCCCCTTGCTGCTGCGAACTGCTGCGAATTTCCTCCCGTGAAGAATGGATCCGTTTGGTACCCATGGATAAATAGGCCTGTCAGTAGTGGGCTTGTCTGGGCGAGTAGTATTGCGTGGATCTGGGCAGTGGGGCGGGTCAGTGCGTCGGCGATGTTCGAGGCTCCTTTTTTGTAAGTGACCGTGTAGTGAAAGTTGGACTCGAGAAAATCGAGCCAGCGAATCTGTCGTGGGTTGAGGTGTGGCTGTGCGCGAAGGTACTGTAGTGATTTATGGTCTGTCCGTACTGTCACGTCTGCGCCGGTCAAGTAACAGCGCCACACTTTGAACGCGTGCACGATCGCAAGCATTTCGCGGTCGTGTATCGGGTAATTTTTCTCGGGCGGATGCAGTTTTCGTGACTCGTATGCGATGGGCTGTAGGCCGTTGCCGAAGTCCTGTAGTAGTACGGCTCCGATGGCGATGTCGCTTGCGTCGGTAACTACTTCGAATGGGCGGTGTGGGTCGGCGATGCGCAGGACGGGCGGTGAACAGAGAACATTTTTCAGGGCAGAGAAGGCAGCATGCTCTTTCTCCCCCCACGTGAAAGCGACCCCCTTCCGTAACAAGTCCGTCAGCGGCGCAGTTAACCGTGCCATGTCGGGGACGAACCGACGCACGTAGTTTACGAACCCCAAAAAGCTCTGTAGTTCCGTGATATTTGTCGGGGGGTGCCAGGCTTTCACCATGTCTAACTTCTTTGGGTGAATTTCGACCCCAGCCTCCAAAATAACGTGCCCCAAAAACTCCAGCCAGTCCTGAAAAAACTCGCACTTGGAACCCTTTGTTAGTAGCCGATGCTCGTCTAAAATCTTAAACACTGCTTCCAGGTCTGCTAAGTGCTGCTGCTTGTCGCAACTGTAGACGAGAATGTCGTCGAGGTAAACAATCACGCATTTATCTAAAAGTGGCCTAAATGCTTCGTTCATGGTCATCTGAAATGTCGCTGGTGCGTTGGTCAGCCCGAAAGGCATCACGGTGTACTCGAATGACCCGTACCTAGTCCGGAAAGCTGTTTTGGCGCAGTCCGATGGTTCGACCCTAATCTGATGGTAACCTCCCCGTAAATCTATTTTCGAAAAAACCCGTGTTGTTCGCAGTTGGTCGATCAGTTCGTCGGCGCGGGGAATGGGGTACCGCGACTTGACTGTTACCCTGTTCAGTGCTCTGTAGTCAATACACATGCGAAAACCCCCGTCTTTTTTCGGTGTGAACAGTATCGGTGCGGCAAATGGTGACGAGCTCGGTCGGATGAATTTTTTCTCTAACAGGTAATCTAACTGCTTCCTCAGTTCGTCGAGCTCGGGTTGTGTCAGTCTGAACTGGCGCTGTACATTTGGTTGTGCCCCCGGTTCTAATTCTATTCGGTGGTCATGTGCTCGCTGAGGTGGCAGCCCCTCTGGTAAGTCGTCGGGAAAAATCCCGGGGTATCGTTTCAACAGTTCCTGTAGTTCGGGCGGTACTGCTGCCAGTAGTGTCTTGAAATCGTTCGGCTGCTCTGCTCCTTCTATCACCGCAATGTCTACTGCGTACACGTCAGCTCCAGCAGCGACAGCCCGTTTCATGGTTACGGCATTGACGTGTACCGTTGAAGACTCGGGCGACTGCCAACGAGGTAGCTCGACCCAGTTACCGCTACTTCGCACAGTGCAGCTACCCGTCGTCCAGTCAATTCGCGGGTTATACCGTCGCAGCCAATCACGTCCCAGTAAAATGTCGTGCCCATCGAGTGTCGTTGCGAGCATTTCCTGTGTAAATCCGAAATTTCCCCCGCAGCGGACTTTGACTCTCTCCACCTTTTCCCGTATGGCCAGTGGCGTGCCGTTGACTAAGCGTGCGTCTATCTCAGGTAAACAACGGCTAAGTGTCAGTTGCAGTTTTCGGGCGGTTGCGGTATTAACTAAACTGTGACTTGCTCCTCCGTCGATAAAGATCTTCACTGCTGCTCCCTGTATTTTCCCGTGGATCAGTACTGGGCAATCCGTCGCTGTACCCTCCTTATTCGTCCGAGCCCGATCGATAGCATGAATCGGTACTGTGACTCGGTGAGGGTCGGTGTGGTTGGGCGAGCAGGCAGTCCCGTCAGTAGTTGGCCCGATTCCTACTGACTGCTGGCGTTTCCCTGCCTTGGAGACTCCCTCCCCTGCTCTGCTCCGCGGCGCCTCAGCTCCTCTGGGCATTCACTCTTGCGATGGCCTGGCCTATTGCAAGCAAAGCAGCGCCCCTTAAATGGTGCGGCAGCTGCATTCGTCGCAACGGCGTGTACGGTGGCATGCTCGATTGGTCCCCGAGGACGATGTCCGTAGTAGGACCCCGGTCTCGGACGGCGCAAAATGTCGATTTTCTCGGCGAGCGCGAGAATCTCGTTGAAGTTCGAGAGTCCGCGTAGCATGAACTCGTGCGAGATGTCCGGCTTCAGCCCTCCGACGTAACGGTCCACCCGCTCCGCTTCGTGCATGTAGCCGACTTGCTCGCATAATGCGAGAAAACCACTCGTGTAGTCTTGAACCGACCCGAGCTGCCGCCAAGTACACAGTTTCTGACGCGCTGAAATAGAAGCCGCGATCGGCTCGAAGCGCGCCCGAAGCCCTGCGCACCACGCATCCCACGTGCTGTATTGGGCTGTTTCGCAGAATGAACTCCAGGTGACGGCTGGACCCGTGGGCCCTTCCTCTTGCGACGGTGGCTCGTAGGCGCGTGGCGACATCACGATGACTCGCCACCAGTCCATGGCGGGGCCCCTCAGCAGCGAAACAGCGTAGCGAATCTTCGCTGCGTCCGACTCGACGTAATTCGCGTCGAAAAAAACGTTCATCGTGAAAACCCACGACTGAACCGTCGGACCTCCACGTTGGCTTGGATCGAAACAGGGCGGGCGCTGCGGCTTGAGTGGCATTGGTGCCATGATGTCGTGGTTGCCACTTGTTGCCGCAAACTCCACGTGCCGACGAGCTTCGCGAGGCCCACGCGGGCTTGGCACGGCCCGATTTCTCTCCATGCCAGGCATCGATTGAGCGGCGCCATCACTGGCTGCGCCTGAGCGTTGTCCCACGCTGTCGTTTTGCGTCGGTGTGCCTGATGAGATGACGATCGGTTCTTCTGATTGTGCAGGTGCATTTGCGGGTGCTTGTGATGGAGCTGGTGCATTCATCGTGGATTGCTGGCGGGCGGAGTCACGTTCCGCCGTGAGTGTCGCGATTTCGAGGGCCGAATCCTCGAGTTGACGCACGAGACGGTCGAGCTGCTCCTGCGTCAATGTCGCGAGCGTCAAATCGGCCATGGCGGGGGTGTCGGGCGAGCTCAGCGAGAGCCTCTGTCGTGGCCGTGTGTGCTTACGAGAGAGCACTACGAGCGGCGGTGCTGTGTCGCTGAGAGACGTCTACCCCCCCAAAAAATTGAGATAGTGGGGAAAACGAAGGTGTGGGTGCGGTCCGAGAAGAGATCGTAGGCTCTGATACCAAGTGTTACGAGTGCAATTGAGTGAACGAACGAGAATTGCACTATCGAAGCAAGAGTACAATGAGCGAAGGCATGAGCGAAGAATATATAGCGAAACTACAGTGGTAACGGTAATGGACTGTGGTTGTTGCATGACGGGCCTGGGACTGAGGTTGGGGAAAATGTCGAGGCGGAGGCCCGGAGCGCGGGTTACCCGCCGAGCCGTGAGGTCGGGGTGCGACGTGCGAAGGTGGCGGGAGGATTTGTCGATGCGAGGGTTGCGAGTGGTAACGGTGCTGACTGTGGTGCTACAGTGGTGTACGCGCTGAGCGGGGACGCGAAGTAAGGAAAAGGAAATTTCCTTACAGTTCTCGACTCGAACTACCGAAATGTAACATACCGTAAATTATTTCTGTACTTCAATAGAGTGAAGATGGATTAGAAGAAAACATAAAAAATCACCCGAGACAAGCACAAAACCGAATGTTTTTGTGCATAACGGGCAACTAGCATAACGCGGCCCACATCAAAGGCATTGCTGCAGAGCCGGCTAATGAGAGAGGTTATGAACAGAACGAGGCGAGGACCATGGGCACACAATTAGGTACCGCAGGTACAATCTACGCAAAGTTCAGATTACTGTCTATGGGAATGTTTTGTCCATACAAACAGCAAGAAAACATCTCCAAACAAGGAAAACTATGTAGGAGACTGTGATTTGTACGGATGAACGAGAGCACATGCAAGCTCCATGGCCTCGAGCAGAAGAGGCGGCTGACTCTCAACGTGCAATGGAGGCCCAGACACGTCAAGGGGTAATGTGGTTGCAGCAGCCTCGTGTGCAGCGATTGGGCGGGCAGCTTCAAGCTGGGCAAGGACTGGAGCCAGAATCTGAGAGACGGATGAGTGGCGGGCAGTCGGTTATGGCATTGTTGATTTGAAGGATTGAAGATGGCGCCTACAACACATAACGAGAAACAAGCTTTGGACACAACGAGTGTAGAAGCACTTCTCAACCCAGGCTACTTCCTTGCTACAGGTGGCCTTACCCATAAGGGCCCTTACCTTGCGTGCATGTCCACCAAACGCCACACCTGCGACTGTGAGGGCACGATCTGCAAGGCGATGAGATGGAAGAGTGCATGGGCATGCATGGTTGAGACGTGTAGGAGAGATGAGTGCAGGATAATACGAATCAATGGCATGCAATGCAATGGTCTAGAAGCTTGGATGGCAAGGCATGAGCAACCAGGATTGACAGCAATGGAGGTGAGAGTCCTTGAGGGCATGCTGGCTGCAGTGGCATGCTGGCTGCAGTGGCATGCTTTTTTAGGCAAGGCGGCTCAGAAACAAGAATGGAGGTGAAACAAGGTGAGGACGAGATAAGCTGCCTGCAGTCTGCAATGGTATTCATGGGGGCAGCCGTGAGGTGCCTTTGCTCTGGGTCGACTCAGAAATGGTTTTGAGAATTATTGAAAAACCACCGGCAGCAAAGCGGCACTGCAGGCAGCAGCGAGGTGCCCTTGGTTCGCCGAAAAAATTAAGGCAGTGGCAACTGCTGTGGCGTTAATGGGGGCAATAACGGGAGAAGCAGCATCGCAAGGTAGCACGCACCAGAAGCAGCATCGCAAGGTAGCACGCACCAAAAGCAGCATCGCAAGGTAGCACGCACCAGAAGCAGCATCGCAAGGTAGCACGCACCAGAAGCAGCAGCGCAAGGTAGCACGCACCAGAAGCAGCATCGCAAGGTAGCACGCACCAGAAGCAGCATCAAGGTAGCACGCACCAGAAGCAGCATCGCACGGCAGCACGCACCAGAAGCAGCATCGCAAGGTAGCACGCACCAGAAGCAGCATCGCAAGGTAGCACGCACCAGAAGCAGCATCGCAAGGTAGCACGCACCAGAAGCGGAAGCAGGCAGCAAGCATTGCTCTTGTAATGCGGTGAACGTGTGGCTGTTGGTCCCGCCTGCTATCTGCAAGTAACCTGCTCATGCGGGGGGTGAGAGAGGGGGAAAGCGGAGCGAGCAGCAAAACAGCTGACGAGAATGACAGGAGTGAGAGAAGAGACAGGCTTGAGAGGGGAGAGATGAAGGACGATCAAACCGACATGGCTTGAGAGGGGAGAGATGAAGGACGATCAAACCGACATGGCTTGAGAGGGGAGAGATGAAGGACGATCAAACCAACATGGCTTGAGAGGGGAGAGATGAAGGACGATCAAACCGACATGGCTTGAGAGGGGAGAGATGAAGGACGATCAAACCGACATGGCTTGAGAGGGGAGAGATGAAGGACGATCAAACCGACATGGCTTGAGAGGGGAGAGATGAAGGACGATCAAACGGACATGGGTGCACCCTGAGAAGAATGAACTGCGTACCATTTCGTGCCTCAGGTAATGAACACCCCACCTTCACTAAGCCAAGCCACATGCTTTGTTTACCACTTATCACCTGGCCGCACCTCACCTGGCCGCACCTCACCTGGCCGCACCTCACCTGGCCGCACCTCACCTGGCTGCACCTCACCTGGCTGCACCTCACCTGGCTGCACCTCACCTGGCTGCACCTCACCTGGCTGCACCTCACCTGGCTGCACCTCACCTGGCTGCACCTCACCTGGCTGCACCTCACCTGGCTGCACCTCACCTGGCTGCACCTCACCTGGCTGCACCTCACCTGGCTGCACCTCACCTGGCTGCACCTCACCTGGCTGCACCTCACCTGGCTGCACCTCACCTGGCTGCACCTCACCTGGCTGCACCTCACCTGGCTGCACCTCACCTGGCTGCACCTCACCTGGCTGCACCTCACCTGGCTGCACCTCACCTGGCTGCACCTCACCTGGCTGCACCTCACCTGGCTGCACCTCACCTGGCCGCACCTCACCTGGCCGCACCTCACCTGGCCGCACCTCACCTGGCGGTCTGTCCTGGAGTGCCGCCACCCTGGCAGCCAATCGCACGGCGGCTCGTGTCGCTCCGGCACCGATGTCCCCACTCATAGGGCGCCCGTCCAACTGGGGGGAGGGATGACGTGGGCGGAGGGGTATGCGGGGAAGGGGAGGGAGATAGGGAAATGGAGGGGGGATACGCACGGCGGCATGTGTCGCTCCGGCACCTATGGCGTCACTCATAGGGCGCCCGTCCAACTGGGAGAAGGGATGGAGACACGCGGAGAGGGATGGGGTGAGGAAGGAAGGGGAGGGGGAGAGAGAAATGGATGGGGAGAGCGGAAAGGAAGGGCGGGAGGGAAATTGTGTGTACATGGCATGAGCTGCAGCACCTGTCAAGTGTGGCAGCATGGAGCTGTACATATGGCAAGTGTGGCAGCATGGAGCTGTACATATGGCAAGTGTGGCAGCATGGAGCTGTACATATGGCAAGTGTGGCAGCATGGAGCTGTACATATGGCAAGTGTGGCAGCATGGAGCTGTACATATGGCAAGTGTGGCAGCATGGAGCTGTACATATGGCAAGTGTGGCAGCATGGAGCTGTACATATGGCAAGTGTGGCAGCATGGAGCTGTACATATGGCAAGTGTGGCAGAATGGAGCTGTACATATGGCAAGTGTGGCAGCATGGAGCTGTACATATTTCATGCACTTGGCACACATGGTGTGGTGCAAGGTGTGCATTTCATGCACTTGGCACACATGGTGTAGTGCAAGGTGTGCATTTCATGCACTTGGCACACATGGTGTGGTGCAAGGTGTGCATTTCATGCACTTGGCACACATGGTGTGGTGCAAGGTGTGCATTTCATGCACTTGGCACACATGGTGTGGTGCAAGGTGTGCATTTCATGCACTTGGCACACATGGTGTGGTGCAAGGTGTGCATTTCATGCACTTGGCACACATGGTGTGGTGCAAGGTGTGCATTTCATGCACTTGGCACACATGGTGTGGTGCAAGGTGTGCATTTCATGCACTTGGCACACATGGTGTGGTGCAAGGTGTGCATTTCATGCACTTGGCACACATGGTGTGGTGCAAGGTGTGCATTTCATGCACTTGGCACACATGGTGTGGTGCAAGGTGTGCATTTCATGCACTTGGCACACATGGTGTGGTGCAAGGTGTGCATTTCATGCACTTGGCACACATGCTGTGGTGCAAGGTGTGCATTTCATGCACTTGGCACACATGGTGTGGTGCAAGGTGTGCATTTCATGCACTTGGCACACATGCTGTGGTGCAAGGTGTGCATTCCATGCACTTGGCACACATGGTGTGGTGCAAGGTGTGCATTTCATGCACTTGGCACACATGGTGTGGTGCAAGGTGTGCATTTCATGCACTTGGCACACATGGTGTGGTGCAAGGTGTGCATTTCATGCACTTGGCACACATGCTGTGGTGCAAGGTGTGCATTTCATGCACTTGGCACACATGCTGTGGTGCAAGGTGTGCATTTCATGCACTTGGCACACATGCTGTGGTGCAAGGTGTGCATTTCATGCACTTGGCACACATGCTGTGGTGCAAGGTGTGCATTTCATGCACTTGGCACACATGCTGTGGTGCAAGGTGTGCATTTCATGCACTTGGCACACATGCTGTGGTGCAAGGTGTGCATTCCATGCACTTGGCACACATGGTGTGGTGCAAGGTGTGCATTTCATGCACTTGGCACACATGGTGTGGTGCAAGGTGTGCATTTCATGCACTTGGCACACATGGTGTGGTGCAAGGTGTGCATTTCATGCACTTGGCACACATGCTGTGGTGCAAGGTGTGCATTTCATGCACTTGGCACACATGCTGTGGTGCAAGGTGTGCATTTCATGCACTTGGCACACATGCTGTGGTGCAAGGTGTGCATTTCATGCACTTGGCACACATGCTGTGGTGCAAGGTGTGCATTTCATGCACTTGGCACACATGCTGTGGTGCACGGCATGCATGTCATGCATGGAAGCGCTGCAAATGGGAAGCACGGAGTGCCACTACACAGTACCGGCCAGAGGTTGGTGGGTGCGGCAGCATGGTGTGGGGGATGGTGTGCGGTGCGGTGCTGCTTGGTGCCTCTTGATCTGACTCTGACTGACCTTACCTGCCAGAGGTTGGCGGCAGAGAGGTGTGGCAGCATGGTGCGGTGCATGTCATGCATGGCAGCCGGCATGCTGTCTCCCAGGTCTGGCAGACTCACCTGCATGCACATTGGGGGGAGGGGAGGGAGTGGGGATGGGGGACGAAGGAACGCGGGAAGGTGGGATGGAATGATGAGAGGGACAGAAAGAGGAAGGCGTGGTGTGGTGTGGTGTGTGGTAAATTGCATGGGGTGTGTACTAGGTCCGGCTCTAGGTACTAAGTGTATGGATATGGGGGGGAGGAGGAGAAACGAAAGATCGAGGAAACGATGAGAGGGAGGGAGAGAAGAGAGGCGGGATACAGGGATAGTGTGGTGGTAGGCAGGGAGAGTGAGAGAGAGAGAGGGACGAAGATACTTGTGAGAGGAGGAGGAGGAGGAGGAGGAGGAGGAGGAGGAGGAGGAGGAGGAGGAGGAGAGGAGGAGAAGAGCGAGCGGACGTAGGAATGAGGTCAAAGAGAGGGGGGAGAGGGAGGGCGGAGATGCACGAGCATGTGAATGCCTGAAACAGATGAGAGCGAAGTAGGACCAGAGTTGGAAGGTCTTGAATACTTGTCAAACAGAGCAGAGCTGGAAAGTGGGCCAACTACTCACAGCAACCAGCTTGAGGGCCCCGGCTGCTTCACCGATGGAAGCCCACAAGGCATTGAACTCGTCCAGGTGGCTGCACGTGATTGGATGGATGACGTGGAGAGAAGCGCATTGGGATACAGACAGCTCTATGCAGAGATTCACCACCAGTGGATCGAGCGGGCAACCTTGTGCAAAGATTGAAATGGGTAACACGTGGCAGCTGTTCGATTTTGACAGGGTAGTGTGAATCACATGGGGTGATTTACCCTGGCAGCGTGTGTATTTCGATGGCGTCTACAAGCCCGCTGCTGAGGAGCTTCAACGTGTCCTCCTCTGTTCGCTGGTGCTCCTCCGCCGCTGATGGGGGCGAGAGGGAGAGGGTGGAGGGGGAGAAAGAGAAAGACACGCACATGCGTAGGCAGAGAGAAGGGAGGAGGGAGAGAGAGGGGAGGAGGCAGGGAGAGGGGAGAAGGCAGAAAGAGGGGCAAGGCAATCCTTCACATAAAGACACCTTAAGAGATGTGGGAAGTATGCCAGGGGAGAGAGGTGGAGTAGAGAGAGACGGTTTTTTAGGCACGTCAAAAGCTTGAGCGCGCAGAGTGAGAGGGAGTCGAGAGTGTATGAGTGGCGGCCAGGGAAGACACCATGGGGTGAGCTGGATGTGTTATACGGGTGCAGCTGGTGCAGCTGTGATGTGATTCAAAGTGCCGTAAGGCTGGGACTGGTAAATGCAGCGTGCCACCCTTTGCAGTAAGAGGTTATGGGATAGGGAAGGACAGGCGTACAGATGAGAGCCAAGGGGCATACAGGGATGCATCGGCCACAGCCGTAGCACCGCTCTGATATCACCCCATCGCTGCTGCTGCTGCTGCTGCTGCTGCTGCCCATGCTGGCCTGTGCAGCAGTGCAGCCAGTATGTGCAGCAGCGGGTGGGAAGCGGATGGCAGCGGCGGGGCAGACTCGCTCGCAGGGCCGAGGGCAGGTGGGCGGACAGAGCGACGCATCGAAGACTGGTGCAGTGGGGGCAGTGTAAGAGGAGAGGGGGAGGGGGGGAGGGTGAGTGAAGGGTAGGGTAAGTGAGGGAGAGATCATTGGATGGTTTGGGAATGCAGAGGCGCGGTGTGGTTCAGTGAGGTGAAGTGAGGTAAGGTAAGGCGTGGAGCGAGAATTGAGCCAAGGACAACCTATTGTGCACGGTGTTAGCAACGCAGGCACAGGTGCAAAGAGAGCCCAGCTTGGGGTACCCCCACCTCTGCAAGCGCTCAAGCCCATCTCGCTATGAAGCCCAGTATAAAGAGGCCTGGAAGTCTGCTGGTGGGAGCACCCACCTGCTTTGCGGAAGTGCGGGTCCTGCCCATCGCTCACACTGACCATCACCCACGGCCGCCTGCCCCCCTCCACATCCCCCCCTCCAACCCTGCCGCCCCCCTTCCCACCACTCAGCTCCCCCCCTGCTTCAACCACACGCCCGTCCCTCCGGGCAGCTGCCGCTTCCCCCCCATACACGCGCCCATCGCTGAGGGTGCGTGCAGCCCAGGCCGTGGCGGCAGTGATGCCGTCCCGTGCTGCCGCCACCACTGCTGGCTCCGCCGCACAGTCTATGCAGTCCACTGGGGGCGGGTGGTTGGTGTGGTGTGAGACGTGTGAGACAAAAAGGAGTGCATGTGAGAAAGTAAAGTGTGTGTGTGAGACAGAAAAGTGTGTGTGTGAGACAGAAAAGTGTGTGTGTGAGACAGAAAAGTGTGTGTGTGAGACAGGAAAGTGTGTGTGTGAGACATGCTGCTGACACCGCTGCTCTGCTGCAATCGCTAGTGTCCATTCCACCAATATTCCTGCATTTTACGCAACGCCTGCATGCCCCCCAATGCACGCCCCCCCATGCACGCACCGCCTGCGAGGGTGTAGATGAAGGCGAGGTTGCGCACATCTGCCACGTCCTGGTGTGGTGGGGGCGTGCGGGGGAGACACATGAGGGAGGCGTGGGGAGAGGAGAGGGCAGAGGAGCACGCACAACACAGAGGGTTATGGACGAGTAGGAGGGATGTGAGACGACTCACAGGTGAGGTCTAACAGTGCACCGCGTGCGAGGGTGTAGTTAGATGCAAGGTAGCGCGCATCTGCCACATCCTGGTGGGGGCGTAGAGGGCAGCGCAGGGCAGAGGGGAGGCGAGGCAGGGGCAGGCGGATGACATGGCCAGGTGGGCCTGGCTAGACAAGCAGGCACAGGGCGAGGGGTATGCGGTGGCAGCATGGTCTATGTGCAGCCATGAGCGGTTGGGAATCTCCACAGCGAATCCATGAGCGAATCCATGAGCGAATCCATGAGCGAATCCATGAGCGAATCCATGAGCGAATCCATGAGCGAATCCATGAGCGAATCCGTGAGCGAATCCATGAGCGAATCCATGAGCGAATCCATGAGCGAATCCGTGAGCGAATCCATGAGCGATAGTCGCAAGCGCAGCTCACCCCGAAGCTGCCTCTGCACATGATACGCTACGCTTCTCCCACCCACCGCCCCTCCTGCAGTCACTCAAACGGCTGTGCCACGTGGCCGTCGTGTGTAGTGTATTGCATTGACTCTCAGATTGCACCTGCACTACCACCCCAACCAGTACCAACCCAAGCTCACCTCGAAACTGGCGCCGCAAATGAGCTTCACCCACCGCCCCGCCTCCAGAGACCTCAATGGCCCTGCCATCTGCTCCTCGTGCACCGCTGCATTTCCCCCCCTAGCTGCGCCCTCCTCGTGTCCCACGCTGCCATGCGCATCGCGCTCAGGTGCATGCGTGCGGCGAATCAGCTCTGTGATCCGCTCGATACTGTCACACCCGGCTGCTCTCCCCCCTGTCTCAGCAGCAGCAGCTGTTGCCACGAAACCGCCCCTAGAAAGGTCGCCGCGAGACGAATCAGCGATAGCCGTGCGTGCGCTGAAGCAGGTGCGCGGAGGACCGCGGATCGCCGCCTCGCGCCCCCTTCCCTCTCCCCGCCCCACGCGCTTCATGCGCGCGCGGCATGGGAGACGAGATCGTTCGGAGCCGGTCTCTGCCGCGTGCCTCTCTGCTGCACGCCTCGGTGCCTGCGCTGCACGCAAACACGACAGCACTGTAGGCAATGAGCGGGCGACACCTTTTGTGTTGAGTCGACTCAGAAATCGCAAACACAGCAGCACTCGAGAAGTTGTGGTGGCAGCAAATGCCATGACATGTCAATCTGATGTATAAGGTGACTCTGCGACAGCTTGGCACGGCCATGAAGCCATGCCGTGCAGGTGGGAAATCGCCGAGTGTGAATGCGACAAGTAGGGTCCGCATGAGACAACGGACGTCTGGGAAAGCTGGCTGGGGAGAAAACGAGGGATGCTGAGCATGGCGCAAGTCAACGTACTGGTGAAGCCACGCCGTCCGTGCTACCGTGGACGAATGAGGGAGAAATCAGGCTTACCGCGATCTCCGGCCCATGGCGGAGGTGCGAAATGCACTGGTAGGGGTGCGACGCGAGTAGTCATCTTGTGGATAGAACGAAGTGCGGAGAGCCGCGAAATATGGGCTAGTGATGAGTAGAATGAGGTGATGAGGAGGATTGAATCGAATCAGGCGGCATACGCGGTAAGGTGCACCAACAGAAACGCTGGTAGCTCGGATATTATCCAACAAGTGTTTTGTGTTAAATGTATCTACAAAATGGTAATCTGTTTCGTAACCGGAATTTCGCTGCGTCGCAAAGTACGTCTGGAAAACACCCTGTGCAGGTCTTTTTTCGTAGCAACCGACGGTGGTCGCTGCGGTCCACCACCATCATGTCGGCGAAGTGCCCTGCGACGCCCTAGTTGGAAGCCTTCTTGCCGAGCGTGGAGTTCGCGAAGAGAACCTGCGGCTCGTCAAGAACAACCTGGGGCCAGCTAGGGCAACAAACGGCGGTGGTCCAGCCATTGGCGGGTCAACAGCTCCTCAAACATCCACCAGGCGCGCAACCCGCGCCTAGGCGGAACCATCTGGAACTTGCCCTGTTTGCGCTGCGCGCTCTCCAGGTTGAACACTTTGCTCGCGGCGAAGCTCGCCCAGCACAGGGTCCTGTCCTGGCGGAATCGAACGAGTGGCTCTCACATCACAGCGACCAGTGTGCACGGTGGGCAGGTAGAGCACATGGAATTTCGACGAACTGCCCCTCCTATGATCCCATCCCACCCAGTGCGCCGCAAAACACGAGCCCGTGGCCAGCACCCAGCCCTCCCTCCCAGCCTCATAGACGGAATAGTAGGCTAGAGCAGGGGAGGGAAGAAAGCCGTACAGTTGAGCTGACGGAAATCTGTGGACGAGAGCAGAGAGCAGCAGGAGCACAGGGGGAGAAGTAGCAAAACCGAGTTGACCGCTTTCTCCCATCCCATCTCTAGGGCGCGCGTCCCCGCATCTCAACGCTCCCCGCCCACGGCGCGCGCCTTGCGCTGCCTCCGCGCCGTGGATCTCCGAGTTGCGCGGGGCTTGATCCCACTTGCCGAGGACTCACCAGCTGTGCACACTCGTGTCGAATCCCACTCATAGCAACTATTGGCTAGTGGTTACTGATTAGTAGTTACTCTATCCATTCGCGTCGACAAGCCGCAGCACAGCGAACCGCGGCTGGACGTGCAGGCATCTCTGGCGTCGAGTCATGTTTGAATAGTGAATACAGCGAATAGCGAAAGGCGACCAGTTGTCAGCGATCATTTGAACTGGCAGGGGCGCGAAAAATACGTGGCTAGATCGTGTGGGCCACCTTGCACCACATAAGAAACAACGATGCAGCCCCGTTGCCTCCGTGTGTCCGACGGCGTGCAGTGCGGCGGCCGCGATTTCACCACAGGGGGCGCGGGAGAACGCGACGGCATGGGCGCGGCAGAGCTGGCTGTGACTCAGCGCGGCGGCTGTAGCACAGATAGCCCTACAGGTGGCGCGATAGATAGCGGCGCCGACCGCGTCGCGAGCGGGCGATGCGCTGGCAGTTGCGGCGGCGGAGACGAACTAGTTCAGTCTCGAGCGAGCGCCGAAAGGGGACAGCGTAGAAGCAGCGAATGCTGGTCCGCGGAGCGAAATAGAAAGTTGGGTACTAGTAGCGTCGAGGACTCGCGCCAACGGAGCAGATTAGGCGGCGACAGATGCGGGAGGCGGTGCGCGCAGCACGTGGCGGAGCGGCAGCTGCGGCTGCTGCGTCCCGCGCTGCTGCTGCTAGCGCTGCTGTCGTGCGGCCACTCGCCGCTCTCGCCCCCCGCAGGGCCGCTCGCTCCAGCCCGTGATGCTCCCGCGCGCACCCGCCGCTCCGCGCTGTTCGTGGGCGCCACCCGAGCCTACTTCCCCTTCTTCCCCTCCTTCGCACAGGTAGGTCTTTTAACGCAGGATTCCCATCGTATACCCGAGCTCGCCTCTTAGAACCGAATTCGCCTCGTAAGTCCGGGGTTCCCAGAGTCGCCCCATGAAGCTCCCACGATGTTGCGTGGGTTTCGGAATTCGTAGCCCTGGGAGGCGCTCGTTTTCACCTCGTGCTGGCGACACGTTACAGGCATTAGAAGCGAAACGAAGGCTTTTCGCCGACTCCTATTCCGGCGGCGCCGCCTCTCTCTTTTTGTCACGACCCAGTCGGTCCCCCGTTACTCCTCCTCTCCCCCTTCCGCTCTCCCCAACACTCTTTCTCACTCTCCTCGCCCGCCCCTCCTCTCCCTCCAGCTCTCTTCCGCCGCCCCGTTCCGTCCGTTCGTTCCCTTCTGTAGCTGTCTCGAGTCAGCCCTCCCCCCTGTCACTCGCGCTCTACCCCGTTGTTCCCGACGGTATCCATCCTCGATATTGCGTCTCCTCGTACTCGACGTGTATCCGCCCCGCTTCCTTACCCGACCTTCCCGCAATTCTTTTCCGTCCCTCCCGCTCCCTTCCGCCTGCGACAGTCCTCGGGGCCGAGCGAAGCGTCGGCGACGCTGGCGACAAGCAGCAAAGATTCTGCGACGAATGTGACAAGTGCGGGCGACAGCAAAGGCAAGAGTAGCAGCAGTAGCAGCAGTGACAAGAGCAATAGCAGCAGTAGCAGCAGTGACAAGAGCAATAGCAGCAGCAGCAGCAGCAGCAGCAGCAGCAGCAGCAGCAGCAGCAGCAGCAGCAGTAGCAGCAGTGACAAGAGCAATAGCAGCAGCAGCGGCAGCGGCAATGACAAGAGCAATAGCAGCAGCAACAGCGGCAGTAGCAGCAGTGACAAGAGCAATAGCAGCAGCAGTAGCGGCGGTAGCAGCAGCGGTGACAAGAGCAGCGGATCGGCGGCGGGCGGCAGTGAGAAATCGAATTCCACGTCGGACGGAAGCTCATCGAGCAGCAGTTCATCGTCAGGCAGTGACAAGTCATCGTCAAGCAATGACACGTCATCGTCAGGCAGTGACAAGTCATCGTCAAGCAATGACACGTCATCGTCAGGCAGCGACAAGCCCTCGTCAAGCAATGACACGTCATCGTCAGGCAGTGACAAGTCATCGTCACACAATGACACGTCATCGTCAGGCAGTGACAAGTCCTCGTCGAGCGGTGACACGTCATCGTCAGGCAGTGACAAGTCCTCGTCGAGCGGTGACACGTCATCGTCAGGCAGTGACAAGTCATCGTCACACAATGACACGTCATCGTCAGGCAGTGACAAGTCCTCGTCGAGCGGTGACACGTCATCGTCAGGCAGTGACAAGTCATCGTCACACAATGACACGTCATCGTCAGGCAGTGACAAGTCCTCGTCGAGCGGTGACACGTCATCCTCAGGCAGTGATAATTCCTCGTCAGGCAGTGACACGTCATCGTCAGGCAGCGACACGTCATCGTCGGGCAGTGACACGTCATCGAATTCAAGCGAACCATCCACCGACAGCAGCGGCGGTGGAAGCGACACGGGCGGAGGGGGGCAGTCGGCGGAAGGTTGGCGTGCGCCGTGGGCGAAGGGCGGAGTGGCGGAGGCGGAGACGGTGCACCTGGTGCTCACGCGCGGAGCACGAGCGGCGCAAGCGGAGGTGAGCCGCCAAGGCTGGCGGGGGTGGGCGGGGTTGGCGGTAAGCAGGAAGGAGTGGCGCGCGGAGTGCTGGGGTAGAGCCGGGAAAAGGGGTGCGAGTGGGGGAACGGGTGCAGGCGTTTCTTGCGCGCCGCTCGCTGAATTGCGGGGTTGCGCGGGAGGGAAGGGGCGGGCGGTTATTGTTCTGGCGGAATGGAACAAGTCTTCCGCTTCCCGCCTGCTCCCCCCCGGCTATCCCCATGTTCCCTCGCTTTCTCCCCTCCCCCTTTCCCATTGATACTTCGTCAACTCCTCCCCGCCTCTATCTCCGCCCCCTGGCGCGTTGCGCCCTCGGGCGCAGCGACAATGGGGTTCCCAACTGCGCCTCACTTTCCCCCCTTCTCCCATCCCCTCGCGCCCCCCACCTCCCCCCCTCTCTTCTCCACCACCTCCTCTTCCCGCCATTCGCCCGCGCGCCAGCCCACACCAGCGGCGGACGCGGCGGTGGTGGCGGCGGGGCTGCCCGAGCTGCCGCGAGTGGGGCTGAAGAACGAGATCCGCTACGAGTACGGCGATGCCCGGGACAGCGCGCTGCTCAGGGTGAGTCGTACGCGTTTCCAGCTGCTCATCCCTGTCTGCCCCTTTACCCACCCCCAGCAGCCCTTTCCCTCCGGCTCATACTCCTCTTGTTTCCCCCCCTCCCCCTTTCCCCCTTTCCCCCTTCCCCCCTTCCCCCTTCCCCCCTTCCCCCTTCCCCCCCTCCCTCCTTCCCCCTTCCCCCCCTCCCCCTTCCTCCCTTCCCCTTTCCCCCTCTCCCACTTCCCCCCTTCCCCCTTCCTTCCCTCCCCCTTCCCCCCTTCCCCCTTCCTCCCCTCCCCCTTCCTTTGTCTCCCGTCCCTCCCTCCCCTCCGCCAGACCACCATGTACACGGCGGTGGGCGCGAGTCGCGACCCCGCAGTCAGCGCGGAGTTTAGGGCCGCTGTCTCTCGCGCTGACGTCACCATCGCGCCACCCCGCAGCAGCGCGGACAGGTGGGGAGAAAGGGAGGGGGGAGGGGGGAGGGGAGGAAGTGGTGCGGCTGGGGATGGGTGGGGGCCCTGGGGTGGAAACGCATGGGGGTGTGGAGAGGGCTAGACGGCGACAGGGGACGGGGGGGAGGGATAGGGAGGGGAGGCATGGGGAAGAGCGCAGGTGGGTGTTGAGGAATGGACTGTGGCATGATGGCATGATGGACACGGGGCCCCACCTGTCCTGGGCAGGATAGGCCTCCCCTCACCGCTTCCCCACTACCCTACTCTCCCCCTCCGCCCTCCCCCCCAGCAGGTACCACGTGTGGGCGCGGAAGGGATCATCCCAGCAGCGGTCAGCGTGCTGCTGCTGGACACGCCCACCCACCTGCTCTGCCTGCCCTTCTCTCATCGCTTTTCTGCCTCTCCCCCGTCTCCCCCCCGTCTCCCCCCCGTCTCCCCCCCGTCTCTCCCCCGTCTCTCCCCACCTCCGCCCTCCCCCAGCAGGTACCACACGGAGGTGAGAGTGGGGTCGTCCCAGCAGGCGTTCAGTGTGATGGTGGACACGGCCAGCGACCTGCTCTGGCTGCCCTGCGACTGCGTGCGCTGCACTGATGGGCCCTCCTCCTCCGCCACGGTGAGCACAGCCCTGCATGCACGCCCACATCGCCACCATCCCCTGCCACTCCTCCACATGCACCACCCGGGCCGCCAACCTCTCCCTCTCAACCCCTGCCCCCCTTTTCCACCTCTCCCTTTCTCCCGCATCCCTCCGTGTCCTCTGCCCACCCTCCGTGGCCCCACTCCGCCAGCCAACGCCATTCAAGCCAGCGGAGTCCACGACGCTCACCACCATGCCGTGCGACGCCTCCTCGTGCTCCGCGTGGGCGGACGACCGCTCGCTCTCACTGGGCTGCAGCATCGCACCGGACCTACCCACACCGGACTCCACCTGCCAGTACTCGCTCGTGTCCAGCTCCCCCCAGGGCAGCTCAGCGGGCAACCTGGTGCGCGACGAGGTGCACCTCAGTTTAGAAGACGGCAGCTTCCTCGCACCCAACCTCACCTTTGGGTACGCCTAGTGTGGCCTTGAGTTGGGTGAGTGTCGGAGTGAGTGCGCCTCAGGCGCCCCAGGGCAGCTCAGCGGGCAACCTGGTGCGCGACGAGGTGCATCTCAGCCTCGAGGACGGCAGCTTCCTCGCGCCCAACCTCACCTTCGGGTACCTTGATGTCACTGCATATGTGCTTGCGTGCTTGCACTTGCTTCGCTGCTTGTCACGCTCGTGAATACCGTGTCCCCACCTCCGTCCCCATTCTCACCCCTCTCTCCCCATTCTCACCCCTCTCTCTTTCTCCAACCCTCGTCCCCCGTGTTTTCCCTGTCCCCCTTACTCCCCAGCTGTGGGCGGTACCAAACGGGAGTGCTGGCAACGGACAACGGTGCCCCGGGGGGCGTGCTGGGGCTGGGCACGGGGGCGCTCTCGCCGCTCTCGCAGCTGGCAGACAGCGGGGTGGTGCCGCGAGCGGGCTTCGCACTGTGCCTGGAGGGGGACGATGCCGCTGCTGCAGGGGGGGGCAGCCACCTGCTGCTGGGGACCACGGACGCCGGGCCTGCTAGCGGGTCAACTCGTGTGTACAAGAGCAGCCTCAGGTGGGTTGGCTTGCCTCGCATTGAGATGACATGAGGGCGGGTGACGTGAGGGGTGGTGTGTGTTGCTGCCGGCAGTGCGAGGGTGTGTGTTCTTTCACAGGGACTCGTTCGTTGAGTGTGACCCTCTAGCCTAGGCCCACACGAGTGTGGACAAGTGCAAAAGCACAAGCTCATGTGGGGGGTGCACCCTTCAGCCTCCTTTCTATTCCTCCTCTCGCCCCACCCCCCCTGCCTTGGCCATCCGCATCAGTCCGTTGTTCTACGTGAAGATAAAGGACATGCATCTGGGCACGGCAGACCTCGTGGTCACGCCCGCCATGTTCCCGCCGCTCTCCTCCGCGGGGGCGGGCGGCACGGCGCTCGACTCCTCCTCTGCCGCCTCCGTGCTGCCCCGCCCCGCCTACATGGCTCTCGCCACTGCTGTGAGTGGTTTACAGTGGTTCAGAGTGGTTCGTACTGGTGCAGTCCCCTGTCTCACGTTGTCCCCCTTCCCCCGTCTCTCATTTCCTCGTGAAGGTGAGCATGTCTCAAGCCCTCCCGTGTTCGTTTCCATCTCCCCGTCTCTGTCACGTCCCCCCGCGCATGGCGTATGTGTCGTCTGGGAGCACACAGGAGCGCCTCTCACTCGCTCACTCGCTCCACTCTGCCCTCTTCCCCTCTCTGTCACGAACCCCCCGCGCATGGTGTGTGTGTCGCCTGTGAGCACACATGAGGGGCTCTCGCTCACTCACTCGCTCCACCATATGCGTATGAGCGTATGTGTGTGAATTCTCTCCTCCCCATCCTTCCCCCCACCAGTTCCAGGTGCAGTACCCACTCATGAAGTATGTGTTGTCTGTGAGCACACAGGAGGGGCTCACACTCGCACATTCTCTTTCTCTCCCCCCCCATCCGCCCCCATTCCCCCCCGCCAGTCCCTGGTGCAGAACCCGCGCATGAAGCATGCGTCCCCTGTCACCGCACAGGACGGGATCTCAATCGCTCATTCCCCTCTGCACCGCTGCACCTCTCCTTCCCCACCCCCCCACCAGTTCCTGGTGCAGTACCCACTCATGAAGTTTGCGTCGTCGGAGAGCGCACAGGAGGGGCTGGACTGCCTTGACGCCACTGACTACCACCAGTGAGTGCCGGAGTGTGGGGGTGAGGAACGGCAGGGGGGAGAGGGTGAGAGAGAAACGAAGCACTCAGCAGGGGCAGCCTCCATGTGTGGAATAGCAAGCGCGCTTGTTCTGCCATCCCTCTTTCACTGCTTGTTCTGCCATCCCTCTTTCACTGCTTGTTCTGCCATCCCTCTTTCACTGCTTGTTCTGCCATGCCCTCTTTCACTCCTTGTCCCCCTGGTGCTCCTCCCTCAACGCGCTACCAGTGCTCCGATCTCATCCCCTCCCTCCCATCTCCTGCTTCATTCTCCCACTCCACCCACTCTCTCACTCGCCACACAATCTCACTCACTCGCCACACAATCTCTCTCACTCGCCACACAATCTCTCTCACTCGCCACACAATCTCTCTCACTCGCCACACAATCTCTCTCACTCGCCACACAATCTCTCTCACTCGCCCCACAATCTCTCTCACTCGCCACACAATCTCTCTCACTCGCCACACAATCTCTCTCACTCGCCCCACAATCTCTCTCACTCGCCACACAATCTCTCTCACTCGCCACACAATCTCTCTCACCCACCACCCCCTCCTTGCCCCCCGCCTCTCAACCTGCCCTCCCTCAACCCCTCCCTACAGGGCATCCATGACCCCCGCGGAGTTCCTGCAGCAGTTCCCCCCCCTCACACTCGTGCTGGCGGGCGGCAAGGGCAGCGCTGACTTCACCATCGCACCCACCAACTACCTCAAGATCGTACGTGCCCTGCCCACAGGTGGTCACTTCCTACCGCCACTTGAACTCTCGTGTGTACCTAAAGGTGGTGACTTCTGAGTTGACTTGAAAACTCATGAACGTACCCATCGCCTGCCCTCCTCCCTTGCTCCTGTGCTTTCCCCGTGCAAGGGACGTTTGCAAGCCACAAGCTGCTGTTGCTTCACTAGGTCATGCTCATACCACGCCTCACTTGAGCTGTCAGATCACTTTGCACCACAGCGCACCGCACTGCACTCTTGTTCCTCGCTCATCTGTTTCCGCCCTGAGCCCTCCTCCTCATCAATTGAGACACTCGACTGGGACGCACATGAGCTGCAATGCGCAGTGACAAATACAGCCCCAGCCCGCCTCCTCATCAATTGAGACACTCGACTGGGACGCACATGAGCTGCAATGCGCAGTGACAAATACAGCCCCAGCCCGCCTCCTCATCAATTGAGACACTCGACTGGGACGCACATGAGCTGCAATGCGCAGTGACAAATACAGCCCCAGCCCGCCTCCTCATCAATTGAGACACTCGACTGGGACGCACATGAGCTGCAATGCGCAGTGACAAATACAGCCCCAGCCCGCCTCCTGATATCGCAACCTTGGCCCCTCGTGTCATGTTGCAACGTTCACCGCTGCATCTCCTTCTCCTCCCCATGCACCGCTTGCCCCCGCTTCAACCTCACAGCCACTCCCTCCTCTCTGCAATATTTTCCCTCACGTGCCCTCGGCAGGTGCCGAGCAGCCCACACGTGGTGTGCTTCACAGTGCGCATGGCGAGCAGTCAGGCGGAGCGCGCAGTGATAGGTGACCCGTGGATGAGAGACAAGTACCTCGTCATTGACACTCACAAAGATACACTCTCATGGATCGATGCTAACTGTAAGTCAGGGGAAGCGGGCTGTGATAGGCGATGCATGGATGAGAGACATGTGTCTTGTGGTTGACACACATAAGGATCAACTCTCATGGATCGACGCTAACTGTAAGCACCAAGAGCACTGCTCTCGTGATCACTGAGTAATCCTTGATCAAGCCTTGTCTCCATTGCTGCCATCTGTAAGCATCACTCGCTGCACTGCTTGCTCCCCCATGCTTCGCTGCTGTGCTGTGCATCACTGCCTCTCACATCCCACTGCCTCCCTCTCTTGTACTTCCCCATCCACTTATATTCCCTCCTCCCTATTCCTCCTCTTCCCATCCCCTCCCCCCACCACCACAGGCACCACAGGCCTTGCCATTATCCGCAACACCACGGACAGCACCACCAACACCACCTCCTCCACCCTTCCTCCCCCCTCCCCGGGGCCCGCCGCCCAGCCGCAGCCCTCTCCCAACTCCTCCTCCACCACCCCCCCAAGCGGCTCCACCAGTCCCCCACAGGGCTTTCCTCCCTCCATCCTCGACTCTAGCCCAGGCCCCACTGCTGCTCCCCCCTCCATCGCCCCGCCCTCCCTTTCCCCCCCCTCCCTCCCTCCCCCAAGCCCCCCCCCTCCACCACCACCCCCGCCCCCAAGCCCCCCTCCTCCCAACAACCCTCCCCCGAACCCCCCCCCTCCGCCCAACAACCCTCCCCTGAACCCTCCCCCTCCCCCAGCCAACCCTCCCCCAGCCAACCCTCCCCCTCCGCCGTCCCCGCCAATCGAGCCGCCGATAGCGGGGTGCCAGCCGTCGCCCACGGACTGCGCCTTCTTCTTTGCGGGCCACGAGGGGCAGGTGCCCACCTTCTCCATCCAGCCGCGCCAGGGCGACGCTGTGCTGTCAACGAGTGAGCTTAAAACGAGTATAATGGGCAGCGACATCCAGGTGCTGGCGGGCAACTCGGGCGAGGCGCAGATCGTGTGCGCCGAGGGCCAGGGCGCCGGGGCCGGCCTGGGGGGTGGGCAAGGCTCGGGGCTGACAGCAACGGCAGCCATGGCTATGAATGATGCTGCTGTGACACAGGATATCGGCAACCAGCTCTATATCACCGGCACGGTGCGTCACATGGAGAGGGTGTGGGGTTTGATGTGCGTGGTATGTGGTTTGTGTACGGTTGTGCATGGTGCATGGCGGTGCATGGTGCGTGGCGGTGCATGGTGCGTGGCGGTGCATGGTGTGTGGTGTGGTGCATGGTGCGTGGTGGTGCATGTTGCGTGGTGCGTGGTGGTGCATGGTGCATGGTGGTGCATGGTGCATGGTGCATGGTGCAGCATACACGCTCAACCTGCAAAGAACCCATTCTTCCTCGCTTCATCTCCTCATTCCGTACTCACCTCTTCCTTCTATGCTCATCGTTTGATTCGGTTCCCATTCCCTCAACAGGACGTGCAGCAGCGCACGTTCAACCGAATAGAGAACCTGTTCGCGCTGCGCAACGCGTATGTGAAGCTGCAGGTGACAGCAGCGGAGATGGACGTGTTTGGCATGACGGTCAACATGAACCCCGGCGACGGCAACTCCTACTTCCCCGAGGACAAGCGCTGCGTGCTCTTCAAAACCAAACTGCCCGACGGCTGACCGGCTGGGTGGCCGGCTAGCTGGCAGGTTGGGCGACTGGGTGACTGCATGGGTGACAGACAGTGTGGAGGATGAGCAGCAGCAGTCTCAGTTGCCAGGCTTGCCCCACCAAGTGTCTCCCATGAACCGAGGGACATGGTTCGTGGTAAGCTCCCATGAACCAAGGGACATGGTTCGTGATAAGCTCTCAGGAAAATGCCTAAATGGGCGCAAAACTTGGGGCTTTGAGAGGCACCTGTAGCTGTTGTATCATGGACTCCTCACAACACTTCCTAATCGCATTCCCTCCCCACTTGCACCCACATTCACTACCATGGTAGTCTTGTTGGTATAATCAGTCCTTTCGCGTTATGGCCATGCAGTGATGTTGTAATGTTGTGTGATGTGTAACATAGTGCAATAAAGTGTGATAGTGCACCATCCTGGACCCCTGTATACCACAGATATGTTGCATTCCTTATCTGTGTGTGTTTTCACCTGGAGAATCACCTGTTCCTGTAAACAAACATTGATGTTTGTGAAGGTTGAAGAGAATACCACGTTGTACAGTTGCTTTGCGATGAGTGACTTGTCGCCCACTTTCCATACTCGGTGTAAGATGCTAGTCCACAGTACCAACAGGACAAAAGGATTGGCACGCCGATGCCGGGGATCGAACCCGGATCTTCCGCGTGACAGGCGGAGATACTGACCATTATACTACATCGACATGCTGAAGGCGAACATTTGTATTTAAATATAGACGTTATATGTTTACTTCAAAAATCCAGATTTCGTGGGGGCAGCGCAGCCAGCTAATCGAGGCGCAATCCGCGGTGAAGTCACATTCGGGGTAGAGGGCAAATCAAGGTGAGGAGCGCAGAGTGAGAGAGGAGAGAAGGAAAAGAGCCAGAGAACTTGTCGCGGGAAGACGGTCGAGAGAAGGTGGTGATCAGCGAGTCAAGAGGAAGGCAGGCGGGGCGTAGTTTCAATCGGGGGAGAAGGCGGACATAGGATCGAGCAGGGGCGAGCAGTAGCGCGGGGGAGCACAGAATCGAGGAGGGGCGCGGGAGCGGAGGGCTGCGATGGGCGACATGGGCGCGGCGCTGCGCGCGGTGGTGGCGGTGGCGGAGCCCAAGGCGAAGGTGGAGGCGTACCGCGCGCTGCTGGCTGACGTCATCGCGCGCAACGACGTGGAGCACGCCAAGCTGTTCGTCGACCACAGTGCGGCGCTGGGAGGGGGGGGAGAACGGGGAGTGGGGGGGTTTGCGGGAACAGGGGGTGGAGAGGATAGCGAGGGGGGTTGCGGGAGGCCGTGGGGGGTGGCGAGAATGGGGGAGGAGGGATGCGTGCGTGGGGGGGCGGGGCGGGGTATGGATGGTGGGTGCGGCGATGACTGCTGATGCCAGTAGCGGATTGTGCTTTGGACTCTGGGGGGCGGAGCGAGCGAGCGACCGAGTGGTGCTTGTGCGGGCTGCTGCTTGCGGGGACCGTTAATCACCTCCTTTAACGTACTTTAGACAGCGTTCTGTGTGGCGCAAAGCGGTCTCACGCGTTTCCTCGCCTTTCTTTGCGATTGGATGAGTCGCTGTGAAGTGTGATGACTTCAGCCCGCGCCACCCGTTCTCCCCAGGTGCCCGTGAAAGGCGGAGGCGGCAGCAAGTTAGAGAGTGAGAGGCTGAGTGCACTGGGGGCAATGCGGCGGGTGGTCCGCACGGCTGTTCGCTGCAGCACTGCGGCACTTGGTTCCACCCTCAGGCTTCTCTTCTCACCCTCCGCTCCCTCCCACGGTCCACTCATCCCTTTCCCTTCCCTTCCCTTATCCACCCTAAGCACCGCTTTTGCTCGTTCCACAACCACCTTCCCTTCCACCCCTCCCTCATCCCCACCTCACCCCTCCCCTCAAACCCCCATTAACCCCCCCGCAACTCCCCCCCCCGCCGTTCCCCCACCCTCACTCACCCGTCACCCCCCTCCTCAACCCCCTTTTCCCCCCTTGTCTCCGCTCCATGCGGCAGTGCGATGAGAGGACGTGCCACTGGTGGTGCCGCGGCAGGTGCTGCAGCAGCTGCCACTCCGTCCCACCAGCCTCCCTTCGACCCTCCTGCACCTTGCCTCACCCCCCCTCCCCCCCCTCACCCTCCTCGCCCCCCTCGCCCTCCTCGCCCCCCTCACCCCCCTCACTCACTCCCTCCTGCAGTGCTATCGGAGGATGTGCCACTGGTGGTGGCGCGGCAGGTGCTGCAGCAGCTGGCGGGCGAGCTGGGGGGGCTGCGCGCCGAGCAGCACAAGGCCGTGGCGCTCTACGCCCTCGCGCACATCCAGCCGCGCGTCGTGTCCTTTGAGGAGCAGGTGGGGCTGGAGAGTTTGTGTGTAATTGTGTGTGTGTGTGTGCGCGCTTGGGCGAGCGGAGCGGCACAAGGCAGGGGTGGTGTACGCCCGCGCACACACCCAGCCACACGCCGTGTTGTTTCAGGAGCAGGGCAGGTGCGCACTGGGGTGTGCGAGCGTGAGGGTTGTGTGCTTTCAGGAAGCGGTGGGATGGGAGTGCGTGTGTGCGCTTGCGTGTACGTCCGCCTGCATGCGTCCCTACCGTGTTCCCCCCACCCTTCTGTCGCCCCTCTCCACCGCTTCTACTCGCACTTCCTATAGCCCCCCTACCCTTCCCACCCTCCTCTCTCCCCGTGTCGCCACCCTCCTCTCTCCCCGTGTCGCCACCCGTTCCGCCTCTCCTGCTCTGTTGTCCCGCACATCCCCTCCTGGCGGGGGCAGGTGGCGGTGATCCGAGAGGGGCTGGCAGCGGTGTACGAGGGCGAGGAGGAGTGGGCCAAGGCGGCGCAGATGCTCGCAGGCATCGACCTGGACGGGGGCAGCAGGTACTGCCAGTGCCATGCTCGATTCCCCACAGCCTGCCCTGCACACCACACCGCCATGCATCTCACTCTTTCCATGCATTTTCTCTTATTTCCTCGTACAAATCTGCACCTCGCTCCCCTCTCTTTGTGCTTGCCCTTGTCGCGCATCACCCGCACAACACACCCGTGCATGGCGGCCACCAGGGGCCAGGATGTGAAGTACCGCCTGGGCAAGTGCATCAAGATCGCGCTGCTCTACCTCGAGGTGCGTGCTCCGCTCTCTGCTCCCACTCACTCTGCCCTGCCCTCTGCCCCCTGCCCTCTGCCCTATGCTCTGTGACTGTGCATCTGTCACCAGTTGGTTTCTGTACACGTGTGCGCCATGCCACGGTGTGCCATTCAGCTATCAATGCATTGAGTGCGGATGCACACTGTAGCAAGGCTGCCTGCCTGCTCGCCTGCATCTTTTTGTCTGCCTTACTCTGACTATTAGTCGTGACTGTTTCTGTCGTGCCTGTGTGCTTCCGCCTGCCTGCCTGTGTGCGCGTGCGTGCATGAGCGCATCAGGACGACGATGCAGTGAGTGCGGAGACGTACATCAAGAAGGCATCCTTCGACATTGGGGAGCACAAGGACGAGGCGCTCACACTGCAGTACAAGGTGAGCACGCGTGGCTGCACGGCAGGGGTGCAGCCGTGGACGAGTGCCCATGCGTGCCGTCCACTGCCACAGATTCATCGTGTCTTGCTGCTCCTTCATCGTCGTATGTCCCACTGCACTGCGCTCTGTGCCGCCATCAGGTGTGCTACGCACGGATTCTCGACTCCAAGAGGAAGTTCCTGGAAGCTGCGCTCAAGTACTACGACCTCTCCCAGCTGGACCAGAGGGAGCTGGGCGGCAAGTGAGTGCCTTGTGGGCGGCAAGTGAGTGCCTTGTGGGCGGCAAGTGAGTGCCTTGTGGGCGGCAAGTGAGTGCCTTGTGGGCGGCAAGTGAGTGCCTTGTGGGCGGCAAGTGAGTGCCTTGTGGGCGGCAAGTGAGTGCCTTGTGGGCGGCAAGTGAGTGCCTTGTGGGCGGCAAGGGAGTGGCTTGTGGGCGGCAAGTGAGTGGCTTGTGGGCGAAAGCTGGGTGGGTGGGTCACAAGTGAGTCCAGGAAAATAGAGAACGAGTGGTGTTGTTTTCATATGTGTGTGTGGAGAGTGAGGTGGTGGGAGGGAGGGAAGAACAACAGGAATTGAGAGAGGTGAACCAGCCAACTTCACACTGCACCCCATCTTCCACACTTCCTTCTTTTCCCCGCTTTTCCTGTTTTTCTTCACAAGGGCACCATATTTGGTTTTGTTATGTTGATGCTTGCTTGCGTTCACATGTGCTGGCGTGCACAGCCCATGTTGAACGCATGCATACTGACGTAACTTGTTGTTGCGTGCACGGGTGACGCATGCAGGCAGGTGGATGAGGAGGAGTTGGAAGCGGTGCTTAACGCCGCTGTCACCTGCACCATCCTCGCTGCTGCCGGCCCCCAGCGCTCCCGCATGCTCGCCACCCTTTATAAGGTGTGCCACCCTCTATAAGGTGTGCCACTTACTCAGTGTCAGGTGTAACGGTGCAGCAACTCTGTACATCCTATGCGAGCTTGTTAGCATGTGGTTTGCATGCTGTACTGCACGGCACCCGACGCGCAAGACTTAATTACTCACACGTCTCTCGACTGGGTGTTTTGCAGTAGGAACAGGAGTGATATTTGTTTTGTGTTAAGTCTCTCGACTGTGTGCATGACGTGTGCGTGTGCGTGTGTGAGCGCATGGTGGTGCTGCGCCACCCATCAGGACGAGCGCTGCAGCAAGCTGAAGATCTACCCCATTCTGCAGAAGGTCTGCGTCGCCTCGCCCCTCCCTTGCTCCCTTACTCCCTTTGCATCTTGTTCTCTTGCTCTCCTTCCCTCGTACGTCCTTGCTGTCGCACCCCACCTACCATGATCCCTGCAACAACTCCATCACCTGTGCCTCGTCCTCCCTGCGCCTTACTGCCGCTCTGCCTCTCGGTGCAGCAACCACGTTTCTCCCTGCAGCTCTCGCCCCTCTCTGGTGTCTCTGCAATGGATCCTGCTGTCACTTTCACTTGAAGTTTTTCTCCCCCGTTATTGCCCCTCCTCCCCACCCGTTCTCTCACTGCCGTCCTCCACATTCCCCCTCTCATGCCCTCCTCCTTACCCCATTTTGCCTCCGCGCCACCGCCTTTTGCCGCCCGTCCACGCCACGCCGTGCAGGTGTATCTGGAGCGCATCCTGCGATCCCCCGAGGTGGAGGCCTTCGCCAAGGAGCTCAAGCCGCATCAGGTACGCTCACATGCCACACACCACATAAGGGTGAAAATTGAATACTCGGTTCGAATTCGAGTACGACGAGTATTTAGCAAGTAATGACAAAAAAGGTATTTGATCGAATACCACCATTTTATTCGAGTCGAATACGAGTCGAATATTGTCGAATACGAGTGAATACGAGTCGAATATTGAGTACTACCTCACCACTATTACCGACTTGTGTGAACGCGATATGAACCTATACTTTTGAGTTTTGGACAGGTCGAGAAGTTCCATGCACACTCTAGCATGCGTGGTCACCTCTAGCATGAAACAGGTGCTACTTAGACAGCTATCTGTGTACCTGCGAATGTGATTTCTGACTTTTGCATTCCGATTTGCAGGTATTTTTCCCGAGAAAAGAAACCAACGCAATCGTGGTGTCTGTTGTCAAGAGTGTATATAGGCCATGTCAACATTGGCAGAGAGTTGCGTAGTACTGAATGCGCTGCACTACAGTGTGCGGCTCCGTGCATGTTGACAAGGTCGCATCATTGTAAGTGCGCGAGCACTTGCAGTCTCACATGTTCTCCCCCAACAAAGCTCCAAGCTCTGTTCCAAGTGGGCAATCCACCCCTCGGGAGTAAGTGTGGGGGCGCATTGGCAATATTCCTTGTATTTGATGTGTGGGGGGGGCAGGGATGCTTTATTCGAGTACTTGACCCCCGAATACTCGCCCTCTCGAGTACTTGCGAGTCGAATATTCGCCCCCTTTCTCAGGTATTCGCTTTGACTAGTATTTGCCGAATACCTCGAGTCTCGAGTAGTGACCGAGTACCCCCCAACTCGATTTTCACCCTTCACCACATGTATACCATAATCTATATAACAATGGGTAGAATACTCATGTTCGTCGTAGATATTTATGGATGTAATATGTATTCATATTGCTGAAACTGCAGCAGGTGAGGTGAAATGAGTTGAACCGCCATCGGGTGAGTTGCTTCACTATGCACCGTGGGTTCAAAAGCATGTTGTACAATCGCTGCATGCGCACCCTCCTGCCACGCACTTGCTGCCATCATTCATCCAAGCCATGCTTTTCTCACTCCCTGCCTGCCTGCGGTGCAGAAAGCGGTGCTACCAGGGGGGTCAACGGTGCTGGACCGGGCAGTGATAGAGCACAACCTGCTGAGCGCCAGCAAGCTGTACACCAACATCAGGTGAGGAATCAGCATCCTTGCTGCACACTCGCCTACCTCATTTGTGAGTTAACCAACAAATGAGCAGCAAGCTGTACACCAACATCAGGTGAGCTGTACTGATTAAGTTTCTGCCGCACCGCCTTGCCGCAGGGTAGAGTCCCACCTGAAATCGGATATGTTTCCTCTTTTGCCCCCATCCCTCCTCTGGCCCCTCTTTACCCCCCTCCACTCCCCTTGCACCTCTCCCGATCCATCACGTGCGCAGCTTTGAAGAGCTGGGTGCTCTGTTGGGCATTGCACCGCACACGGTGGGTGTGAGGGGGGTTGGATGGTGAGGGCAGTGGGGTGTCGGGGGAATTGTGTGCTGCTGGGTGGCTTGCTGTGGGTGATGGCAAGGCACCACACGTCATGCGCCATACACCATACTCCATGCATCATGCACCATGCATCATGCAACTGACGAACGTGCACTGTGCTCCATGCATGTGAGTTTTCATTTCCGCGCTGCAGTGTCACAGAGCAACATGGTCTGCCGACACCGTTGTGTTTTTCTGCACTACACTTGGTGCTCCCATTTCTGCGCTCAAATCCCGTCATGCCTGCAGCCATCCACTCCAGTCATAAGCCGTCCAATCATTCCCACCCCTGTACACTCAACACACCGTCTTCTACCCTCCTCCTCCTGTATCCCGACCCACCTGTGGGGTGGTGTGGCGTGGGGCAGGCGGAGAAGGTGGCGGCGCGCATGATATCGGAGGACAGGATGAAGGGCAGCATCGACCAGGTGAGGCAGCATCGACCAGGTGAGGCAGCATCGACCAGGTGAGGCAGCATCGACCAGGTGAGCACACTCGTTGCCGAAAAGTATCACTCAAGCAACTGCAGTATATTCAACCTTGCACTTGCTACTCTTCCATCCCTCTCCCTTGCTCTCCTCTCCCCCCTTCTGCCGCCCCAACTCTTTGCCTCCCACTCTTCCTCCCGTCCGCTCACCATAAGGTGGCAGCAGCAATTTGCAAAGATACCCTTACCTCCCCGCTCTCCCGGCCACCCCTCTCTCTCTTCTCTCCTGGCCACCCCTCTCTCTCTTCTCTCCCGGCCACCCCTCTCTCTCTTCTCTCCCGGCCACCCCTCTCTCTCTTCTCTCCCGGCCACCCCTCTCTCTCTTCTCTCCCGGCCACCCCTCTCTCTCTTCTCTCCCGGCCACCCCTCTCTCTCTTCTCTCCCGGCCACCCCTCTCTCTCTTCTTTCCCTGCCACCCCTCACCCGTCGCTCCCTGGTGCCCGTGTCAACCCTGTCGCCCACGCCAGGTGGAGGCGGTGATTCACTTCGACAACGACACGGACGACCTGCAGCAGTGGGACCAGCAGGTACACAAAATCATATCTGCATCAGATAGCTCTCATTGCTTCACGCCCGCCCTGTGTGCAATGTCTCACGCCCGCCCTGTGTGCATTGTCTCATCTCCGCTCTGTGTGCTCTGTCTCACGCCCGCCCTGTGTGCGTTGTCTCATGTCCGCTCTGTGTGCTCTGTCTCACGTCCGCCCTGTGTGCAATGTCTCACGCCCGCCCTGTGTGCATTGTCTCATGTCCGCTCTGTGTGCTCTGTCTCACGCCCGCCCTGTGTGCAATGTCTCACGCCCGCCCTGTGTGCAATGTCTCACGCCCGCCCTGTATGCATTGTCTCATGTCCGCTCTGTGTGCTCTGTCTCACGCCCGCCCTGTGTGCAATGTCTCACGCCCGCCCTGTGTGCGTTGTCTCATGTCCGCTCTGTGTGCTCTGTCTCACGCCCGCCCTGTGTGCAATGTCTCACGCCCGCCCTCTGCATTGTCTCATGTCCGCTCTGTGTGCTCTGTCTCACGCCCGCCCTGTGTGCAATGTCTCATGCTGCAGATTGCCAGTCTGTGCCATGCGCTTAATGACATTCTCGATGGTGTGGTCAACAAGGGAGGCATGGCTGTCACAGTTTGAATGAAAGCTCTCATTATGATCAGCAGCACCTCTCATCTACCGTACTACCCCGGATATAAGCGCACCTGCGCTTATAATAAAACAGTGTTTCTTAGGGGGGTGCGCTTATAATTGAGTCAAAATTATAAGCGCATGTGCTTATATAATGACAAGTACATAAATATTTTTTCAACGCACCAAATTGTGCATCTGAGCTTGCAATTTCATTCAAATCGAAATGTGTGAAGCGTTCTGAATCAGAATCGCGCGAGTGCGATTCTCTGCCAGCGCACAAGGGCAAGGACACGCCACTTTCGCATAGGAATGTGTCATGCGCGCCCAGCCCAGTGTACGAACCAATAGCGTGCAGTTGCTCATTCGCATCGCACAGGATTGCTCCAGTATACGACCGATACCGTATGGCCCGCAGGCCTATTATAAGCGCATGCGCTTGTATCTGGAGCAATGCGCTTATGGCCGAGTCCTCATTTATAAGCGCACCCCCTGTAAAACCTTGATTTATTATAAGCGCACGTATAATTCTAAAATTTAAACCAGATTAACACGGTAGCGATTTCAAATTTTGCAGTGAGGATACAACTATTTTCGCTTCGATTGCTTTCGAGGACCTCACATACTGCGCGTCCAGTCAGTATGAGCTGGCATTTCTGATAGTGACGTGTAAATTTTCCCCTGTGCGCCGGCAGAAAATCGCTCACGCGCGAATCTGAATTGCGACTCGCTACCACTTCGATTCGATTGAAATCACAAGAAGGAGATGTACAGTTTGGTTCCAATGAATTATAAATTTGCATTTGTTATTATATAAGCGCATGCGCTTATAAATCTGACTCAATTATAAGCGCACCCCCCCAAAAAACACTGTTTTATTATAAGCGCAGGTGCGCTTATATCCGGGGTATTACGGTAGCTTGCAGTCGCTCGTTCGCATCGCACAGGCTCACCCGAGTGTACGGACCAATAGCTTGCAGTCGCTCGTTCGCATCGCACAGGCTCGCCCCAGTGTACGACTAAAAACTTTCAGTCGCTCGCTCGCAGCGCACAGACAACAGTTGTTCCCGAGCCCCCCTGTCAGTCAACTTCGCACCGTTGCGCTTTTCCTGAACGAGCCCGCCCTCAAGGGAGTCAAACACAGTAGAAGTGGATGTGACTCGCTGCAAAACGGGAAATCGTTACTGCTTTAATCCGGTTAAAAAAAATATGTTCATGTCAGATTTATATGACATAGCTACTGTAGGCTATAGTGGGGTAGCACATATGGGGTACAGTTTTCTAGGGTTTGTATTTGTACCCAACTTTCCCTTAGTCAATTCATCCTCGTTCAGTTTCTCATGGTATCGAGCAGGTTCCCCTGTGGGAACTGTTCCTAGGGCCCACCACCTTTTTTTTCCTGCCCGGAGCGCGCTCTACACTGCCCGAGTCGCGCTCCCCTCTCTCGACCCTGTCGCGCCGCCTTAGCGGCCCCGTCGCGTCGCGCTTGCGGCCCCGTCGCGTCGCCCTCGCGGCCCCTTCACGTCGCGCCGCCCTAGCGGCCGCGTCGCGCCGCCCTCGCGGTCCCGATCCGCCGCCCTCGCGGCTCCGTCGCGTCGCGCCGCCCTCGCGGCCCTTTCACGCCGCCCTCGCGGCCCTTTCTAGCCGCCCTCGCGGCCTCTTCAAGCCGCCCTCGCGACCCCCCCCTCCTAGCCGCCCTAGCGGCCCCGTCGCCTACCCCTGCGGCCCCGGCGCCGCCCTTCCCTGCCTCGGCGCCGCCTCTGCTGGCCCCGTCGCCTACCCCTGCGGCCCCGGAGCTGCCCTTCCCGGCCCCGGCGCCGCCTCTACTGGCCCCCACGCCGCTCCACCCGGCCCCGACGCCGCTCCACCCGGCCCCGCCGCCGCTCCACCCGGCCCCGCCGCCGTCCCCACGCGGCCCCGCCGTCACCACCGAGCCGCCGGCGCCGCCGAGCTGCTGCCGAGTTGCCGAGCCGCCGCCGAGTTGCCGAGCCGCCGAGCCGCCGAGCCGCCCAAGCCGCCCTGTCCGGTAAGAGCAGCGCCTCTGTCACTGCACTGCCCTTACCCTACTGTTCGCGCTACTAGTCTACTGCTGTCATGGCTACCCCTAGTGTCCTCGCTTTTGACGCTGAGGGTCGGGCCATTGACTTTGACGTCTGGGTAGATGACCTGCAGCTTTTCCTACAGTGCGATAGGGCAGACGGTCTCTCCCTCTTTGACCTCACCTCTGGTGCCTCTCCTGCCCCTGCTGCTGATGCCGACGCCACTGTTCGCTCACAGTGGGCCACACGCGATGCTGCTGCACGTCTTGCTGTGCGTCGCCACCTGCCTACCTCTGAGCGTGCGCACTTTAGCCAGTACAAGAGTGCTCAGACCTTGTACGACGCTGTAGTTGCGCGCTACTCCTCCCCTGCCACTGCTGCACTGAGCCGCCTCATGCTACCGTACCTCTTCCCTGACCTTGCTGCCTTTCCCACAGTCGCTGACCTCATTACGCACCTCCGCACTAGTGACACTCGCTACTGCGCTGCGCTTCCTGCTGAGTTCTGCGCCAAGAACCCCCCCCCCATGTACATCACCCTCTACTACATAGTCACCCGGCTCCCTGACTCCCTTCGCGTAGTCAGGGACCACTTCCTCTAAGTTTGCCCCACCACTCTCACCGTTGACCTCCTCGAGAAGGCCCTCCTAGCAGCAGAGAAGAGCATAGTCGCTGTAGGAGCCTCTCGTGGTGACCCTCGCACCCCCGTCTTTGAGGGGTGTTCCCCCTCCCCCCTTTTGCCCTCTGTTGCCTCTGCTGCTACGGCCGACCTCGTTGGTTTCGAGTCGGTCGGCGCTGCGTCTGCCCCGAGCGGGAGACGCCGCACCAGCAAGGGCAAGGGGGGCAAGGGTGCTGGAGGGGCTGGCGGGGGTGGCGGAGGTGGCGGTGGAGGCAGTGGAGGGGGTGGGGGTGGTGGTGGGAGTGGTGGCGGGGGTGGAGGTGTCGGTGGCGGCAGTGGAGGCGGAGGCGGCGGCGGCGGTGGCGGTGGGAGCGGAGGTGGCGGAGGTGGCGGCGGTGGAGGAGGCGGCGGCGGAGGAGGTGGAGCTGGTCGGGGTGGCGCTGCGCAGAGGGTCGGCTCCGGTGGTGGTCAGCGCCAGCAGCAGCAGCAGCAGCAGCAGCAGCGCACTCGTGACATCCCCCCCCCTCAGCAGCTCCGTGAGTGGTACGCTGCACGCCAGCTGGGTGGGGGTACTGGTCCGTGCACCTACGTCCTACGCACCGGCGACCGCGCGGGTGAGCAGTGCGGGGGTGCGCACTCCACCCAGCGCTGCTTTGGCCGCCTGACGGACGCTTGGCGTCACCAGTTCCCTGAGGCCACTGAGATCCCCCGCTGGGGCGAGCTGTCTAGGGCGGGTGTAGCTGTCTTTGACCTTGACTTTGATGCTATTCTTGCTGCCATGTATGCTGTGACTATTAGTGATGAGGGTGACTGTTACCGGTGTTTTCCGCCCGACCCGGGCATTGAGACTGCTGCTCTAGGTACTGGTGAGGCTGCTGCTCTAGGTGCTAGCGAGGCTGCTGCTCTAGGTGCTCGTGCGTCTGCTCCCTCAGGTGCTGGTGAGTCTGCTCTCTCAGGTACTGCGTCGGCTTCGGCCTCCCACACCTTCACCCTTGACTCGGGGGCTTCTCGCTCCTTCTTTCGAGACCGCACCACACTCACGCCGCTTGGCCGGCCAGTTGCAGTCTCTCTGGCAGACCCCTCTGGGGGTCCTGTCCTTGCTCACTTCTCCACTGTCCTCCCGTGTCCGGCGGCCCCCTCTGGCACCCTGTCTGGTCTTTACCTCCCCTCGTTCTCTACGAACTTGGTGAGTGGTGCTGACCTACAGGATGCGGGGGTTCACCAGTTCACTCCTGCGAGTCAGCGGGTGACCCACTGCACGGACGCTCGGACAGGCCGACACCTGGCCACGTTTACACGTCGGCCGGGGTCGAGCCTGTACACACTGACCACTGCGTCTCCTCCAGTCACTGCGTCTGGTCAGGTAGCTGCGTCGGGTCAGGTGTTTGCTGCAGCGTCCAGGTCTGGTCCTGAGTCTGCCCCCTGTTCGTGTCGCCTCCTGTCTCACGAGACTCTCCTCTGGCACCACCGCCTTGGTCACCCCTCCCTGCTTCGTCTCCGAGGCATGGCCTCCCGTGTCCTTGTCTCTGGTCTTCCCCGGTCCCTCCCTCCCCTTCCTCCGGGGCCTGGCCCTACCTGCGTCCCCTGTGTCGAGGGGCGGCAGCGGGCTGCCCCTCACTCCTCCCAGTTTCCTCCGACAGAGGCCCCGCTGCAGACGCTTCACATGGACGTGTGGGGCCCGGCCCGCGTCCGTGGACAGGGTCACGAGCGCTACTTCCTGCTGGTGGTTGACGACTACTCGCGTTACACCACAGTCTTCCCCTTGCGCAGCAAGGGTGATGTCACTGAGGTGTTGATCGACTGGATCCGCGCAGCTCGTCTCCAGCTCAGGCAGAGCTTCGGCTCGGACTTTCCTGTTCTGCGTCTGCACTCTGACAGAGGTGGAGAGTTCTCCTCTGGCCTTCTGCGAGCCTACTGTCGTGCATGAGGCATCCGCCAGACCTTCACGCTTCCGGACTCTCCACAGCAAAATGGGATTGCTGAGCGCCGCATTGGCATGGTCATGGACGTCGCCCGTACGTCCATGATGCATGCGGCTGCCCCCCATTTTCTGTGGCCGTTTGCAGTTCGGTACGCGGCGCATCAGATCAACCTTCACCCCAGGGTCTCCATGCCGGAGACCTCCCCAGCTTTGCTGTGGACGGGGACGGTTGGCGATGCGTCTGCGTTCCGTGTCTGGGGATCTCGGGCGTTTGTCCACGACTTGTCTGCGGACAAGCTGTCCCCTCGTGCTGCTCCTTGCGTCTTCCTTGGCTTCTCCCCTGACGCGCCAGGGTGGCAGTTCTACCACCCCACCTCTCGCCGTGTTCTGTCCTCCCAGGACGTCACGTTTGACGAGTCGGTCCCCTACTA